AGCAGAACCAGTGTTTGCAGGATTTGAATACCCATAGTCAACTAATTCAATATACTTGCAATATCCAACTGACCAGAAGCTTTTAGTAATGGGACATGCACCGTAAACTAAGCTGACTTTCTGTTCCATGTGGTGGATAAGCAGAGACCAGCATTAGGAGTTGCGTTTCTCTCTTTACAGTCTTCTGTCCTATTAACTAGTTAATTTACCTTTTTGTTTGAAGTATTTTGTGCTAAAAGACAATTCATGGTTGCTTAGGGTTTAGTGTTCTAAACAGGCCATTCTCCGTGAGTAACAGGGAGGCACCTCTCCAGCTCTGGAGAAACAGGAAAGTATTAAGATCAGAGGGGGGGGAGAGAAAACAAGGGGAGGGATAAAATGGAGTGAGTGCATAGTAAGTTTTGAAAATGGGAGGGTGCAGCTGGATGGAAGACTGCTAGGAATCTGGGAGTGGTGGTATGAGCTTCCCAGCATAAAAGAGTGCTGCAACATTTGGTAGATCTTTAGAAAGAACTTGGGTAATGGAACTGCAAAAGAAGAGATGTGTCAGCAAGGAGTAAGTGACAAATTGTGGCAACATTTGGCAGGGAGAAAGTGACAGAACTTACAGCTATGGGAGAGGAAGGAGGGGAGAAGGGTGGCTGTTGTAGTCTCCTCAGACTTTGGGGTGAGGAACAGAGACTTCCATTGTTAACCTGGAAATAAGATTTCAGAACTATCCCAATCTTCCAGGGTTTGAAAAAAAGTATTGTTAAGTGGGAAGGTCTCATGCAAGTGACAGGGACTTAACCTCAACCTGACAGTGTTGTCTACCTGAGTCTGCAGAGAAATAGCTCTAGCATCAGTGCTTCTGTTTACAGCTTTCCCAACCCAGCAGCCATGTGAAACTACCAAATCATGTTCTTGCTTGGAACAACAATGAGCAGCAGCTGGGGCACTGACCTTTTGTTCCTTGACCTGGTGTGCTGTCCCTCTGGGTGGTTGTCTCCCCCATCCAGTATTCTGTATCAGTCTGACTTGCAAGCGTATCCTCTCCATGGAGATGGCAGACCATTACCGTTGGTGTTTAGCCACACCCCATGTCACAAGAGGAAGTGTGTGGGTGCTTTAGTTCCATGAAATATTCTTCTGGTTTTGTACAATACAGGCAGTCCCCGGGTTACATGGATCCGACTTACATCGGATCCCTACTTACAAACGGGGTGAGGCAACCCCGCACTAGCTGCTTCCCCCCAGCAGACCAGGGAGACGCGAAGCTAGGCCCCCCCTCCCCAGCAGACCAGGGAGACGCGGAGCGGCTTTTCTCAGCAGACACCTCAGCTTGAGAATAAAGGACTGAGGGAAGTGAGGTGTGGGAGAATAAAACTGAGCTCTGGAGAAATGTTTGGCTAGAGTTTCCCCTACAATATGTACCAGTTTCGACTTACATACAAATTCAACTTAAGAACAAACCTACAGTCCCTATCTTGTACGTAACCCGGGGACTGCCTGTACTGTAGATGCTGAAAACTGCAGTACTGTATTTAAACATAGCCAAGTCTAAACTTTCAGTAACAAATCCAAATGACTGCTCTCCCAGGATGCTCTCACATCTCCGCTTCACATCTCATGTCATTTCATTTGAGTCGAAATATCTAAATTCATCTATCACACAAAGCTTGAAACATTTACCTGTTACCTGCTAGCCTGATGACTAGTGGCACTAGTCAGTGGAAAATAGTTGTTCTATCATGTCTTGCTACTTAAAAGAACAAAGTAGTTGCATGCTGTCCTTCGTGTCCCATATTTGTTTGTACCATCTAGTGAATTAACTCTCTCTAATGAATTTTTAAGAATAAAACTTTCTAGAAGTCTCCAGCATTCCCCCTCTTTTTTCCCCCATCCACATGCAGAATAAATTTGGTTTTGTGCACCAAGGCATGTGCAGATGTGCAGCACCAGTAAAAACACATGCTGCCTGCTGTGCGTGCTCTACTAATCAGTTGAGTGGTGTTTGAATCTCTCCTGGGTGGCCGCCCAAGTGCCCAGCTTAGAGGAAACGCTGGCAGTCTCCTACTTTAACTAGACCTTTTCTTTCCTGGCTTTGCTCACTGCTTTTCTGTTTTTCTCCTAGATCATGGTGCATTTGTCCTTGTGTTGTCTAGGCTCTGGCTACGCGGCTCTGCACATTGGACTATGCAGGTACGAATAACAGTGCGCACCAAAATGCTGCATTGTAACTCCCCTGCGTGGTGGTACGGGGAGTTAGACGACTTCATTAACACAAACTAAGAACCTTTTAGTCCACTCCCACAGTGCCCACACAGGGATGTTACAGGGCATCACTTCAGTACGCGCTGCTATTCATGTGTCTTGTCAGAACTGCAGTGTAAGTAAGCCCCTAATATCTAGTTTCCTTTCTCCCTTTCTCAGAGTTCTTTTCTACCTTCTCCCCCTCACCATTTCTCTCTCTCTTACACTTCCCCCAAAACACCTTTCTCAGTATGTTCTTTGTTTCTAATCAATTGCATGAGGCTTTTCTTCCATCCACTTGCACGATTTCCAAGCCCTGTGTATGACACATGTAGTAACTGGGGGGGATAAACCTAAACAAAGAGTGATATTAAAGATGAGGGGGCATCAGTGTCTAAATGCAGTGTGCTGTTGAGAACCACTCCACCCCAAGAGCTGCTGGGAAAAGGGAGAGGAGTCCGCCATTACTAAAGGATACTGTCATTGGACCTGTTCAGAGGCCCCACGCGTCATGTCTGCCTTGTCTCTGGCTAGTAACTGCATAATTAAGCTGAAGCTTTGAATTTCTCTTACTGCTTCCCTCCCCCGAATCTCCTAGCTATTGAGAGGGCAGTTGGCTGTCTTTCTGTAACATCTCCTGTACCCTGACCTTCTCCTCTTTCCCAAGCCCCTAGCATAGATAAGCTGCTTCAGTATAAACGGTGACTTTTGCCAGTATTGTTTGCTTTAGTTTAAAATAAATTATGTAAACAGCACAGTATAGACAAGTCCTTATTTTCTGGGGGCTGGAGCCAACATAGTTCTAAACCAGTGGCTCCTAATAGGAGTGTGTCCTGCCCTCAACACGCACACACATTAGATCAGCAGTAAGCTCATCCTGTGTCCCTTCTCTGTAATAATCTAGTTGCTGCAATATCTTTTTTGTGGGGTGGGGACAGGGTGCATTTTCTTTCCTGTCCTCTTTGGTCTCTTAGTGTCTTTCCTGTGTTTTAAATTGTACTCTGGTGGTTTTCCCCTCAACAGAAGACGACTTCCTGCTCTGCTTGGGTGCTATGCCCCTGAGTAGCTTGATGGGACCAAGCTACATCTGCTTGTATGAGTGAGAGCCAGAGAAACAGGAGAAGCCTGAGCAAGTTAGCTGTTGCCTAAGATCATAGCCCCATATATTCAAGTTGCTGGTGTGGCCATTGTTATGGGATGCTTCGGGGAATGCTGGTTTAGCTAAAGCAAAGAAACCTAATGTGATGATAAAATTTAAGTCCACAGAATGCATGGAATTTAGGATTAATGGTGGAGGTTGTTTATCTTACTCTGTACTTTGATGGCCTTTACACTACTCAAGCATGGTGAGGTCTGAGAAGGAGGGATTTCAGTCCTATTAGATTTTCCTGCTTTTCTTGGGTTTTAGGTTTGGTTAATCAGTGTCACTTTTATTAGTGTTTTTGGTCTTTTGGAACCTTTTGTTTCACAGGAACAAGTGATTAAATGACTTATTTATAATGGAGTTTGGTGGTACTGTAAGATAGCATACCCTGCAGTGTTCCAGACCTTGAACTCCTCTGCACAAATGGTTCAAATCTGGAAATTCAGAATCTGGTTTGTGAGGTAATAACCACACCTTCTTCTTAACATCCTAGTAGAAAAGCATCCAAGAAGGACTCCTGAACCTGAAAGATAAGCTGCCAGCTGCCTCAGACTATTAAAGGGTGACTCAAAGTCAAGAGCAAGCAGCTGACTGTTTTATGGTTCTTGGTTTGTTGCTGTTGGAGACAGGAAGCTATGTTCCCCAAGCTGTTAGCTTCCTGTTTTATTTTTACACCCATCCTGAGCAGCTCAGCATGTCCATCACCAGGCAGGCATCTGCTTCTATACTCTAGAATTTTTTCTCATCTGAGTTACAAGGAAAACTGTTTTCCTTCTTAAAATTAATCAAAAAGTTGGGATAGATTTGCCTTTGTTAGACGTTTTGGAGATGGATCTAACTGCTTGTGCTGTGCTCAAGTTATTCAGGAGTTGAAGTTTCATTCTGTTTTGTGGGTAGGAGGAGGTAAGAGAATTAAACTGTTTAACAGTTAGGCACGTTTGCTGTTGTAAAATACCAGGCAGGCAACAGACCCACACAATCATTTTCTGAAGAATAGCTTTAGAAGTTTTGTGTTTCATAAGTGTTAGAAAAACTGGAAATCGGGGTTGGAAATTCCTTCTGGCTGAGTGTAGTAAGATCAATTTTGATTTCTTTCAATGATGTGATCTACCCTCATAGCCTTATAAAGCTACCAGTGTGGTAAACCGCTAACTCTAAAACAATGGGTCTGGGTAAATGTAAGCCACACAAAGGAATTTCCAAGGGAAGAGGGGTGCAGCCTGCAGGATAAGAAACAGTCACCAGAAAGTTTCCTGGTCAGCTGCAAGCCCTTCCTGTTGTCTCATGTAAGCCCTTGCTGTCTGTGTTGAAGGAATGAGTCTGTTCAGTGCAGAGGCATCAGTGGGAAGGGTAGTGTGGCAGCAGCAGTAATATAAACAGTTCCTGCTCATCTAAGATGGGTAGTTTTCCATTGCTGCCTCTACACCTGAGCCAACAGGTTTCTGCTTCTCCATGGTGTGGAACAGCAGGATCTTTATTTTTGAAGAACCAGTTTTATAAGGGTGGGGAGGAAAAAAATGCCTTATAAATGAAGCTGTTTCAGAGCAGGAACTCTAGTGTGCCTGGAATCTGCGGGTGAGTAATCCTTTCCTGTTTCTTTTTTGGGTTGTTTTTCATCTTTCAGAACACTGCCTGAAGTGGGTCCACCATGCCGTTAGTAACGAGGAACATTGAGCCAAGGCACCTGTGCCGTCAGACGTTGCCTACCGTTAAAAGTGAGCTGGAATGCATGACCAACATCACCCTGGCAAATGTCATTCGACAGCTAGGGAGCCTGAGTGAGTACCACTGTGAGCCTGCATGCTGCCCTCAGGAGTAGTTAGTGCTTTCTTTAGCTTGCTATTCCTGCATTCCTATTTCTCCCCGCTCTGCCCTCCCTGGGTAATGCTAAAATGTTTTCTCTCCTTCTCCTACCAATTAAAAAAAAAAAATTGGAGAATAGGGGAATAGAAGAGCTGCAGCAAAACTGTAGATTGAAGGATGGAGCACGGTTCGGGGCTATAAAATGGGAGACTCGGAGTGGCCAGTCCCTTGTTAGAGAATGCACCTGTATTGCATCGGCTATTAATTGTAGCTCAACTGTGTTAAATTTACAATAAAAAACTTTTAATGAAAGGTAATCAGAATGAGCACACCGCATCTGGCCTGATTGCTCATGCTACATTTATTGCATTACAAGGCTGAAAGTCCCCAATTAGGACTAAGAATTGCCTCAGATATTGGAGTTTGCAGGCCGCATGTTAGTTCAGCGGCACAAATGGCTACCACTTGATGGTTTGGCTTTCTGGTGAGCTAGCAAATAGGCTTATGAGGGGCAGAGTGAAAATATTGGGCCCAAGCTTTATAACAAAAATAAACTGAAAGAATGGCTGTGCTGTACCAACATCTTTTTTCTCCTTTAAAATGTTCTGGTTTCAGATTTAACCCCCTTTTGCTCAGTATCGCTTTGTTGGCCTGCAAATGCCTTGATAAACAGATTCATACATTAATTTCACTCTGGAAGTACCTATGTTTCCTTCACAGGATAGACCCTTTCTCTAGTGCAACATGAACATGGGTGAGAGGATTCCAGGCACAATCCTTCCTATTTCTGCAATAGTGAAAACACATCACTGTCACTAAAGCCCCTGGGCTGCTTCAAGGTTCACAAGTAACTGATACCAATAGGCCTTGCATTGTCTGTTGCTGAAAAGATCAATGTGCAGCAATGGATAAGACCAATCTACACATCCGTTGTCAATTGACTCTCACTGTGTGGTAGTTAGATGTGATTCCTGAGATGGTTGCGTAGCATCAGGGCTCTCTTAAAATCCATCATGTGCACGTGAAATGAGGAGGGGGAGGGCAGCAAAGCTCTTTAATTCCCAAATACAGAGAGTAAGCTGATCCAAATCCAAAAGGCATGCCAGGGGTTAGTGTGACAGAGCACCAGCCAGATCCCTCAGGCTGAGACCTTCTTTATGCACTTCACAATATTCAAAGCACCTCTGCTTATCCCTCAGCACAGAGAGAGAAGTGCTGGAAGCCACATCACAGCCTGGTTCCTTTATCAGGAGGGTACCAAGGGAGCCTCGCTTTGGGGTGTGGGGGAGGGCCAATCACAGACACAACCAAGAGGGCTGTAGGGGAAACTCATGTGAAACAGGCTATTCTTATTGATGCTCATGCACATCACTGTACATTTATTTGAGGGTAATGGGGAGGGAGGGAAATAAAAATGAGCATTTTCTTCCATATGCACCCACAGGGTTGAAGACAGAATTCTAAGTACTGTGGTCTTTGGGCTAATTACTGCAGAATGTTGAAACCCAGATAACCATACTTGTTGTCTGTACATTATTTTGAAGATGGGAATATGATGTTTTCTTATGTGCTGAATACTGTAGTAATCTGAAGACAGTTCAGTAAGTGACAGCAGACCTGTCAAATGAATAATCAGCCATGCCTAGTACACCACTACCTCTTTACAAAGGCACAAACATAAAACTTGTGCAGCATTTATGTTCCAGAGAGTTTGCCCTTTGTTACTATGACAGCCGGTAGCACTTTGGAGAGGCAGTCTGTGCATTTCTGTTAATTCGGTAGAATCATAGAAGCTAGAAATGGGAAGGAACTACTAAATCATTGTCTTCCAGCCAATGCAGGATAAAGATAATCTTGATTGTAATTTTCACTCTTGAATTAAAATCAATCAGGCAGCTAAATCCTTGAAAACTAATCTCTGCTCGCGTCCAAAAATGTGCATGAAATACAAAAGCATATACTGCATCCTCTGCAGTAACTGCATGTTGACACATTTATGCAATTAGAGGAATTCACCCAAGCATCTGGACCAGTGCAAGTAACTGTGTTTGTCTCATCTTTGTATAGTTAAAGTGTACTGCTCAACACTGCAAAACAACAGTTTGGTTTTTCCCAGTATCTGTAGCCTTTTCCTTGTGAAATTCAGAAATGGGTTTCAGATGTTGTTAAAATGGAAGTAAATAACAATCTTGTTGCATGAGGCTATGACTATGAGGTCTGTCAAATTGCATTATAGATGAGTCTTCCCTCTCCTTTCATTGTGTCATCCTTTGTGAAATGTGTGAGTTGCTCTTACAGTGAGGTGGAACAGAGTGGATGCTTAATGAAAGCCAGTTCCAATGATACCGGTCTGATTCCTGTGTCTGAGGGATTGAATAGCTTCTTATGAGTTAACACAGAACAGCTGACAAGATGTGTCAGCAGGGCAAAGGTAGTGCCCCGTATTAAAACCAGGCATACAGGAAGGAGAAACACATTATACGCAACCTGCATAGAGACAATGGCCGTAGGCCTAGATGCTGGGACTCTGAAAGACACAAGTTGAGCACGCTTGTATAAAATGACTGCAGGGAAAGGGGCTTGAGCTTGGTACTGCTTCAAAGAGCAGACTCTACTCAGGTTCGTAGATGTCATGGAAACAGCTGGACTTGAATAATGGCCGAGTGTTTTTTCACTTCCTTCCTTCTGGAATCACCTGTTAGAAGTGCAGTTTCCATTTTACCCGTATCTCTTGTGCTAAAAGCCAAGATTTTTTTTTTTAAGAGCTCTGAAGTTGCATCTTCATTTAAGCTCCTGATGGACTGGCAGGGTTTTTCAAAAGTGCCCAGCTCTTGACGGGCTCCACTGACTTCAGGGGGAGCGATGGCTCTGTGGGGCTCTTGAAAGCCAGACCACTGATTAGAAGCTAACTTCAGGCTTCTGATTTTGATGGTCTTGGCCATAAATATTTAGCAAGTCAGGATTCCTCACAAGACGGGGTAAGGGCAGCTTCATCCTTGCACGGCCTTCCTGCTCCAGACACTGTTTGGGGACTGGCAAAGCCACCTGGCAACCCAGCCTGGGCAGATTCCACCTCCTGAAAGGCTGCGGTCAGAGCTGAACAAGTAGGACCCTTCGGAGGTGGAATCTGCCCAGGCTAGGCTGCCAGACGGTGTTGCTGGTCCCCGAACAGTGTCCGGGGCAGGGAGCAATACCAGTCAGGGCCTGGGCACTGCTCTGGATCAGCCTGCCGCAGGAAATGGGGCTGCTGCCATTGCTTGGAGGGGAGACCCCATGTAGAGACTACAGGACAGCTGGACCTGGGGAAGTGGGTGGCCTTCCCGGCTGCCAAAGGGCCTGAAGCGCCATGCGGGAGCAGACCCCCAGGGGAGGCGGTGCAGGGTCTAGTGGCTAAGGGGTAGTGCTGGCTGCATGCTGGGGGAAAGCAGCCACTGTGCCATGTTCCCTTCTGGCAGCTGGCTATGGTGGGTGACTATGTATGTTGGGTGGGCTGAGCTTAGGCTTGCTGTCCGGGGGCAGGGGTGCAAGGTTGTGCGCCTCCCAGGCTGGGGCTCTCAGCCCCCAGCCCAGGGATCTGCTTCAGCTGGTGCGAGGCCTGGGGTGTGGCCCACTCATGCCGGGAATGGAGGCAGGCTCTGTGTCCTCAGCCACTCGCTGCCCCCTTCTCTGCCACGCCCCGAGTGGCCGCCCCAATGCCGAGCCGCCCCAGTGGAACCCGTCGCTGCAGTCCAGCAAGCCCTGAGGCATCACAGAGGGGAGGCCCAGCAGTGTTTAGAGCGATGTGGTCAAGGGGTGGCGGAGTAGCAGGGTGTGCCTGCCTCTGCATGGTAGCGCCCAGTGACACACCCCTTCCCTGCATGGCTCCCTGGCCCTCTTTCCATCCTCCATGTGTATCCTGACATCCCAAAGGCACCTGCACTCTCTGACCCTCTTTCTCTGCCTCCTTTCCATTTCGTCTGCCCTCAGACATCCCCCTTTCTCGCTTCACAGCACCCCAGCAATGCCACCTTTGCTGCCCCTTCTCTCCAGGCAACTGCTCAGATCCTGCTGGCACAGCACCTGGAGCAGCCCCCCCTCTCAATCCCCCCCCACAGAAATTCGTGCATAGGGACCTGGTGCTGTTTCTTTGCTGGTTAGGTTGCCAGTTCGTGGGAGCGGGCAGGGCGTGCATAGGGAGGGAGGAAGGAAAGGGGATAAGGGTGTATGTGGGGATGGGCGGTGTGGTAAGGTGGGATGGTGCGGGTGAGGGCATATAGGAATGGAGGAGGGATGGGCAGTGTGGGGATGTGGAAGGGGAGGGGCTAGGAAAGGATGGGGGTATAGGAATATACAATAGGAAGGAGGTGAGAATAGGGATAGGCAGTGTGGGATGGGGGGGTTAGGACGGATGGAGTGGTAGGAATGGAGGTGAGGGGAGGGATGGTGGAGGATTAGGGAGCATGGTGGAGGTAGGAATGGAGGCAAGGGAATGGGGGTGTGGGAATGGAGAATGGAGGTGGGGCAAGGAATAGGGTTGGCTGTGGGCCATGGACTGTTTTATTGGTGGGTGGGGCAGGAGTGGGATGGGTGTGGGCAGGGGGAACTAGCTGGCAATTGAAGGGAACGAGCAGGTGGGATGGGCCAAGAGCATTCAGATTGAGGGGCCCATCCAGGGGTATGGTGGGTGGGAGCGGAGAAGGGTGCGAGTGAATTGGGGCCATGGAGAGCGCAGCTGGGCTCGGTGTAAGATGCAACAGCAGCCAGTGAGAGGGGTTTTGGTGAGCATAGCAAGCAGGGGGCAGAGTCGCCTGGTGTGTGTATATAATAATCTTGAAAGCATCAGTCTTTCAGGTGCTGCTATCTGTAGAATCTAGAAGGTCAGTATCCTTGTCTGTGAATGTGGCTAAGGCTTTAGGATGAAGATTTGAATAGACCATATACCGTATTTTCCGGCGTATAGGACGACTTTTTTTATACTAAAAAAACATCCCCCAAAAATCGGGGGTCGTCTTATACGCCGGGTATAAACATACTGTAGCTTCGGCTACATACAGAACGTCCCTATTATTACCTTTTAGCCCACTGGATGTGCCCTAATACAGTACTGTAGCTTCGGCTACATACAGAACGTCCCTATTATTACCTTTTAGCCCACTGGATGTGCCCTAATACAGTACTGTAGCTTCGGCTACATACAGAACGTCCCTATTATTACCTTTTAGCCCACTGGATGTGCCCTAATACAGTACTGTAGCTTCGGCTACATACAGAACGTCCCTATTATTACCTTTTAGCCCACTGGATGTGCCCTAATACAGTACTGTAGCTTCGGCTACATACAGAACGTCCCTATTATTACCTTTTAGCCCACTGGATGTGCCCTAATACAGTACTGTAGCTTCGGCTACATACAGAACGTCCCTATTATTACCTTTTAGCCCACTGGATGTGCCCTAATACAGTACTGTAGCTTCGGCTACATACAGAACGTCCCTATTATTACCTTTTAGCCCACTGGATGTGCCCTAATACAGTACTGTAGCTTCGGCTACATACAGAACGTCCCTGTGCTGATACTGTATGTACCGCGCTGAGCCAATCACGGCAAGCGGATTACAGTTACCATTCAGGAGGTCTTACTGCAATGCAGTAGTTTATAATTTGGGAGCCCTTTGAGGTACCATACAGCAGTAAAATCTAGCTATATTTGCTTGTTAATAAACAGAACATCATATAACCCTAAAGGGACTGCCAGCTAATCTGACACAGAGTAATACAGCACACTGTCAACTTAGCTCATGTCGACCAGTTTTGGTTACTTTATTCAAGACTTAAGACATATGCTTCAGTTGTGTTTTATTGTAGTTTTAAAGACCCGTTAGAAGGATCACATTTAGCTGGAGTGGTGCATCAATTCACTGTCTGTGCTAGTATCTTTAGAATATTGCAAATCTGCTTTATATCCACTTTAAATCTGTGGATATGCAGCTATCTGCGGCTCATTTTTTACAAATACGGATGCAGATGTGGATACCGGGTGATGCTCACCAGGTAACCAGCGGCCAAGACAGGCTGGAGCAGCCCCTTACTCCAGCTCAGCGGGGCCCACCGTGCTGTAGGTGGGTGGGGATGCTTCTGGAGCAGCCCCCCAGCGCCCACAGGATCCGAGTCAAATGCAATGTTTAACTGGTTAACTTTTTAAACAGGATTTTACTGAAAATTTGCAGATATCCACTTTATATCCACAGGTATCCGTGGCTGTGAATATCCACAACTCATTTTTGGAGATACAGATGTAGAGGCAGATAAAAAAAATTTGTATCCACACAGGACACTAAATATCTTGGGTGGGATCAACATTTCCAAACTTGAAACTAACAAATGTAGCTCTTGCAAAGGCCAGAAAATAGTGTGCTGATTAATGTGGAAGCAGCAGGAGATTGGTTAGTGTGGGGGAGGGGGTGAGATTTCAGGAGGACTCAAGAATTAAGTGGAAAGGATAATGCAGCTCAGAGTGTAATAAAGCGCTTTGAATATTCCAGGTAAATTTGCAGAGGACATTTTTGGAGAGCTGTTTACTCAGGCCAACACCTTTGCCTTTCGGGTGAGCTCTCTAGTCGAGAGGGTCGATCGCTTGCAAGTCAAAGTCACTCAGCTGGATCCCAAAGAGGAAGAAGGTAATGGAGCGGAGCACAGCACTTGCAGACCAAGCCTGCTAAAGAGCCCCATCTAACCAGCAGAGCTCATGGCCTTGGAATGAGAGGGAAGCATGCTAGAGGCTCATGTGTTTCCCCTGCCCTAACTGCCTTGAAAAACACTTTGCTAGAGATATGTGAAGTGGTTCCAAACAATTCTATCTGCTAGAGTCATAGCAAGTCTCCATGTCCAGTGGCTGGCTATTCAATGCAGACAGCGGCAGCATGATTTTCAGGCTGTATTTATGCTGAAATTTGAAACCACCTTAGCACCTTTCTTGAGACCCATATGAAACAGTTTCAACCCTTTGTAGACAGGATTGGAGTTTTTGTCTCGAGAGTATTGTGGGGGGAAAAGGAACCCAGCCATAGAAAACACTAAGCATGCTGGGATTGTAACTGCAATCAGATGTAGCTATTTGGCCATCTGTATCAGTCGCCTACGTTGAACTGTCTTTAACTTTCTCTTTCCATTGTTTCCTTCTTTCTTAGTGTCCCTACAAGGCATTAATACAAGGAAGGCCTTCAAAAGCTCCACCACTCAGGACCAGAAGCTCTTTGACAGAGACTCCCTCCCAGTGCCTGTCCTGGAAACATATAACATCTGCAATACACCTCCACCTCTCAACATTCTCTCCCCTTACAGGTAATGTGGCAGCCCCTCTTTAGCTCTTTTTTCCCCCCTTGTCAGGAACGTTTCCACCACAGCCAATGGAGACAGGTGCTCACCCGATGGCCAAGGTCACACTAGCTTTATCGAGAAGCACTAGCCCCTAAGGGAAATGGAGTCACCTAACTAGAGTCCTTCGGGCAGGTTAGCTGGATTATTTGTAGTTTTGTTTCTGGGGTTGTACAGATGGAGGTAGCTGAAAAATTACATAGTTACCTGTTATTGCTGTTGTGATGGTGCCTTAGAGAGACAGATCTTGGATCGTACTGCATAACATTACTAGGTATGTGATGTATTTTCTCAAGCTTCCCTGTGTAATCTCATGTTCCCCCTTCTAAGAGCTGTCTTGGAAACTACAGGACATACATTTGCATGCGATGCTGACTCAAATGGGTGCATCAGACTTCTTTAGATTTTGAGCATTATCTGGTCTGTGCTTGGGGTTGAGTGACTTACTCAGCCTAGATCCTGACTAACCAGCAAAAAGCCCTTCTGCTTAACGCTCAAGACCTGTTACTTCATCCTGGGATACTCAGACTAGGGATGTTAAATTTCAAGTAATTGACTAATTGAATAGTCGATGCAATTTGCATCATCTAGTCGATTAGTCCTAGAGCTGTTGCTACACTTCAAAGGCGAAAGCGCTGCAGTGAGCACGGAGTTTCAAAGGGGCAGTGCCCCATGGAGCCTGGGGTCAGCTGAGGACTCCCCTGCTGACCCCAGGCTCCATGGGGCGCTGTCGCTTTGAAATGCCGCATGCAGTGTGGGGACACTCCAGCTGGCCTCAGGCTGCATGCCGTGTTTCAAAGTGGCAGCACCACGTGGAGCTCAGGATCTGGCCCCAGGCTCCAGGTGGCGCTACCGCTTTGAAGTACACCCTCCTCTTCCCCCGTCCCCCACTGCCTCTTTCTGATAGACTAGTCGAGTCGTTCACATCCCTAACTCAGACTAAGGTTGTGTCTAGACTACAGGGTTTTGTCGACAAAAGTGGACTTTGTCGACACAACTATGCCTGCGTCTACACTAACGCCGAGTTATGTCGACAGTAAGTTGACTGAACGCGGCAGTTTTGTCGACGGCGGTTAACCTCATTCTACGAGGAATAACGCCTTTTGTCGACAAAAGGCACTATTGCATCCACACTATGCTTTTTCAAAAGAGTCTAGACTCCCCGTTGACAAAGCGGCTTACTTTGTCTACAGAACTGGCTGTAGTCTAGATGCTTTTTGTCGACAGAAGCTTTGTCGACAGTATCTGTCAACAACAGCCTGTAGTCTAGACGTACCCTAAGTGTTATGATCCACAGTTGTCTTCAGTGTGTTTCCTGTGGCTTTTTGCCGTACATGATGTTAAACCACTGTATAATTTTAGTGTATTAACCAATCAGGAGGTTTTTACTAGACTAACCAATTATAGGTAATAAAATAAGAATCCTTGGTCAGTCATTTTGCTGTGAGAATACACGCACACACATACAGAAACACAAAAACTAAATATTTCACTGTCCTGCTGTTTAAATGTGGATAAATGGCACTACAGTAAATGAAACAATGAAGTCATAAAACTGGCTTTTTTGGGTAATGCTGATCATTAATTTGACTTTTTTAATTTCAAAAGTCTGAGTGTCACAGCTGTTGATAGTCATAGAGCAGAGGGTCAGAATACAAATATTGCTTTAGCCCACATCCATAAATTTCTTTTGAACAGGTAAAAAGTAATTACAGATAGCTGGAGGCAGCTGTCTTCTGTGAGATGCTGTCCTACTGCCAAGTAGGAGGGGGTGCATGTGATGCATGTTCCTGAGCTTCAGGGATGATGCTGGTCTGAAGGTTTCTAAGTGGAGAAGATTTTTCCCAAAACACAGGAATGTATCGGGAGGAAGGAAGTAACAGGAGCCTGATCTGCTGTGGTGGGGGGGAGTGGTTTGGGCAGGATGGAGATGATGGCTTAAAAGAATGCTGTTCAGCGTTAGGAGGTGAGTGCATGTAAGCCTGTATCCCTTGACGTTGCTGCAGAGCAGGCTATCTGGAAAAGAGTCTGGGGAGCAAAAGGATGAGAAGCAGCCTGTGTGGGGAGAGAGGGTATATTGGACAAGGGAGCAGGGGGAGAGACAGCTGCTGCCGCCTCCGTAGTTGTTAGTGGCTGCTCAGTCGAGTTCTCGCCACTTACCTAAGGTACAGAAATCAAACTGTATATCCAGAAACCAGAGGAGACTCACACTTAGGGCCTTGCTGGAGGAGTGGTCAGAGTTCCCCTGGCTCAACAGGCTGATGTAGGTAGGAGGCTGTGGCCAGCAATCTGACTGTCCTAACCCAATGCATCAGGTACCCATTTGACAGCTGGGTGAACTGGAGCTGGGCTTTGTGTGTGAAATCAAATGAGACTCAAACCTGCAACCTTCAGGACCATAGCTGAGTGCTTTAACTATTCAGCCACTGCTGAGAAGCGGTGGTTTGGTGATGGTTTTAAGATACTGGGTTGCTCCTCAAGAGCTCATATGCTTCCTATTTGAAGGGGACGGGGAAGAGTACAAAATGTTTGGCCTTTTGTTTCAGTTTCATGGAAATTGTCACCTGTTGGGTATCTTTGGGCATCATACAAGCACCTGACTGGCACCTTCTCTGTGTTTCTGATCCAGGGATGATGGCAAAGAGGCACTCAAGTTCTACACAGACCCTTCATACTTCTTTGACCTTTGGAAAGAGAAAATGCTACAGGACACCAAGGATATCATGAAAGAGAAGCGGAAGCACAGGGTGAGGGGATGTTTGTTGCTGCATGCTAGCAAAGAAATAATAGAAAAGACAAGGTAGGAGGAAAAGCTAGAGACTCATAGGAGACAGTTTGTCTTCAAAATCCAAGTTTGCACTTTCACTTGGTTCTTGGGATATGGTCAAGTATACAATTATACTTAATAGCCCTCCCTATTGCCTGTTACTATAATCCTTACTTAGTACAATGGAGAGATTTTAAAAAAATTGTTCTTCTGAATTTCATGTACTTTGGATGGTGATGCTAGTTCATTCCATAGCTTTGTACCTTCTGTCTTCTGGACTTCTATACGTTAGCACTGTAAGTGCTGTCTCTTGGGTGGCAAGAGCCGTTTTTAGACATATCTGTATTAAAGTGCCCATTTACTACCTTTAGTATACTGCGAGGTACCCGAAATATTGTCACCAGGAAATGGGTATGCCTGTTCTGAAAGAGGTGCGTTAAATTTAAAAATTCAATTACACTTCTTAATATATGGAAGTGTTTAAGGTAAGTAAAACTACCAACCCCTTCCCCCCCCCAAAAAAACCCCCCCATCACACTAGTCCAGTTGCTGCACTTGAGTATCTTTTTATAATTGTAGCATTTGAAAAGGATTATACCTTTAAGGCTTAGTTTTGAGAAAAGTTGACTTCATTTTAAGTGATTGTATCATCAGATCTCAAAATAGATCATAACCTTCCACTCAAAATATAGGAAAGAGGCCTGGAATATCAGAGTCCTTGGAATTGGGATTGGTTTTAGTCCAGTATTTTGGGCAGGCATCTGTGTTTTTAAAAAAACACCCACTTAACAGTTGCCACTTACTGATATCCTTGCTGGCAGCCTCAACATAAAGACCAAAGACACAACAGGGGCTTGTCTAGGTTGTAAGTTACTGTGTAGCAAGCCAGGGCATGAATGGTCCTGCGCAGTAACATCTCTTGTTGATACTATGGCATGCCAGGACGTTCATTGCCCTGTAGCAGTTTCCTTATGCGGCGTTGCTATGTAGCAAGCTGGTGCGCTATAGATGAACACCCTGGCTTGATGCATAGAAACATGCCATTTAGGCAAGCTCTAGGCGTGGGGAAGTGATCTGCCCTTTCCCTCCGAAAAGTTCTTTTCTGGTCATAACTGAGGCACCCTGGCTGGAGCATAAAGGAGAGCTCATCCCTATGCTACTATCTGCAGTAGCTGGTTGGTGTGTAAATCTACCTTGTACTAACCTCCTGTGCACTGATTGTTCATGTACACATGTAGTGCATGGCTGGTTAGTTCAAGGTGGATTGGTGCCTCATCTTACCACATTCTAACTGTTCACGTAGACAAATCTTAATCTTTCCGCCAGTACTAAATTCATTCTACTGCAGTCTCAAAGAATCCCAAGATCTTTGTAGCTGTTCCTGTCTCTTCTCCACCCCTCTCAGTAAGAGGAAATAAGGACAGACTAAACCCAAGCAAGTTTCCAGTTCTAATGGGTCTGCCTTTCTTTTCTTCTCCAGAAAGAGAAAAAGGATAATCCCAACCGAGGGAATGTGAATCCACGGAAAATCAAAACCCGGAAGGAGGAGTGGGAGAAATTGAAAATGGGCCAAGAGTTTGTGGAGTCAAAAGACAAACAAGGGTAAGTGAATCTGGCTGCTTCCTTGAAGGAGAAGCAGTCTGGCATTGTTGATGGTAATATAGTTCATCCTGATCTGCAATTTCTCCAGCTCTGCTCTGCGGGTCGATATCCCCGCTAATCACATTCTCTGAAGTAAATCTGTCTGTTGATTTAAAACTTGAGAAATAAATCAAGAAGCTAAACATTTTAAAGAAGGTGGTGCAAATAGTCTTCAAAAGCAAAACTGCTTTTGCTCTTGGCTCCCCAATCTGAGAGATGCAGAAATATCAAGGACTTAGTCCCATTACCCAATCATCACTCATTCTCTACAGCTGGTAGAATAGATGTAACCATGCTAGTTTGGTCTTGCTGAAACAAAAGACAGTGCTGCATAGTCCTGTCTTTTGTCTCTACAGCTGGGTCACCAGTTTGACCCAGAACTGTATTAACCCACTACATTTGAGCAGCAGCACTGTCAAAAGTAGGTGATGGAACAGAAAAATGGCAGATTAATTTTAATTTTGATAAATGCAAAATACTGCATGTTGGAAAGCATAATCCCAACTGTGTGCATACAGTGATGGGGACTAAATTAGCTATTAACATTCGAGAGAGATAAATCTTTGAATGATCGTGGATAGATCTTTGAAAAATCCACCCAATGTGCAGCAGTAGTCAAAGAAGCAAAGAAAATGCTAGGAATGACTTAAAAGGTTAGAGAATAAGACAGAAAACATCTTATTGCCTCTATATAAATCTGTGGTGTGCCAGCGTCTTGAATACTATGTGTAGATGTGGTTGCTTCATCTAAAAAAAAAAAGATATATTGGCACCAGAAAAAGTTCATTAAAGGGCAACAAAAATAATTAGGAGTTTGGAACAGCTGCCATAGGAGAAGAAATTAATAAATCTGGGCCTTTTCATCTTGGAAGAGACTAAGGGGGATATCATAGGGATCTAAAAATCACAACCAGCGTGGAGAAAGTAAATAAGGAAAAGTTATTTACTTGCTCCTGTAACACAAGAACTAGAGGTCACCAAATGAAATTAATAGGTAGCAGATTTAAAACAAACAAAGGAAGTATTTCTTGACACAATGTACAGTCAACCTGTGGAACTCCTTGCCAGAAGATGTTGTAAAGACCAGGACTTTTAATAGGGTTCAAAAAAGAACTAGATAAATTCATGAAGGACAGGTCCATCACTGGCTATTAGTCAGGATGGCAGGAATGGTGTCCCTAGCCTCTATTTGTCAGAAGCTGGGAATGGGTGACCGGTGATGGATCACTTGATGGTCACCTGTTTTGTTTACTCCCTCTGAGGCACCTGGCATTGGCCACTGTTGGAAGACAGGATACTGGGCTAAATTGACCTTTGGTCTGACCCTGTATAGCCGTTCTTCTGTTAGTGAGATAATTTTAGTAGCCTTTGTCTCCTTGTGGTTATGGGCTGAATTAATGTAGTAGTCTTTCATGGTAAGGAAAGCCAGTGAGTAGGGCAAGCAGATGTTCCCAGAGCTGACTGCTTTGTGTCAGTTTTTTTTCCACACAAAGGGCTGTCTCAACTTTGTTTATAGGGCACCATTTCTAATACTGCTTTTTCATGTTTCTATTACTGCTATGCTTCATGTTTCAAATTTTAAGACATTTCTCCTCCCATCCAAGTTTTTCAGTTACTGATCACTTTTCAGAGCTTGCTGTTCGGGATTTAATTTAACTTTTGACACCAGTCTGGCGTGAAGGAAACAGAATTCCCAACATGCACTTCCCAAGAAGGTCTTTTCTTAGCATATGTGGCTCTTTTCACTGACGAAAATCTTGCTTAGAATCACACATTTTATATTTAGAAATAAAACCTGCTTTTATTTTATTTTATCAGTTAACTTGAGGCCAGGCAGGATGAATCTGACTTCATGACAGCTGCTTTCTTGCTTTCTCTATTTTCCACTAGAAACTCTTCAATGTATTTTAGTTTGCTGTAGGCTCTGATTTGAGGCTTGAAGAGTGTTTGTTTTTGTTTCACTGTTTGAAATGATCTTACTCTACTGTCAAACTAGGGATGACCCTAAACAAAATACTGTTTCAGCTTTGGATACTTTGCTATTTGCTTATGATTACATCTGCAATGTGCTAGGCGCTTACCAGCCATGCAAGAGGCGATATAGCCTTTACCCTGATGAGCATGTGGTCACATTAGGACTTTCTTGCAGCCACAGGGTGTGTGATGTATATAGGAGTCTGTCAAGTCCAGTTTTTGTCCATATTCCAGCCTTAAGAGCAAGCTTTTCTCAGTCTGACAACTAATAGAAATACTTGTTTTGTTTCAAAAATCAGAAATATTCTCTTGAAGTGTTGTCAACCCTCACACTGAATTATGATGCTGAAGCATAAAAATCTGAAAATAAACTTGTCTAGATCTTAACACTAAACAAAAGTGAGATAATTGGTTAACGTCCATTGTCCAGACAGAGAGAGAGAGTAAACATCCATAACTAGTGAAAGCGAATTTTAAATCTCTAAAAATCTAAACAATTTCTAATAATCTAAGATGCTTCAGGAAACAGATCAGGAACCATTTTATATGATTTGGAACCTGATTATATCCCTTTTAAATAATTATTTGTATTACGGTAGTGCATAGAGGCACAAATTAAGACTAGGGGTTTATTTGTGCTTTTAACATG